ATGAATATTATCTGTAAGATCTTTAACTGTATGAGTTCATTTTAAAACTTTGAGTAGTAACAACTTTAATAAGAAATCTTACTCAAAAAAAATTGTAATGTTATGTAATGAAGCGATATTAGGAGTAACAAAATTTATAAAATTCAATATTGAAGCAAAAATGATGAGTGCTAAGGAAATGATGAGTAGAGTAATAATCGCTTGTAAACTTTATTAAAAGGAAAACTAACATCTGTACCACTTTCTTTACTAAAAAAAAAATTTATTTTTTATAAAACTTCTATGTTCCTTTTGTTAGTGTCAGGATTAAAAAGACGTTTTAATACAGATAGCATTAAAATGAATAGTAGATAAAAAGTGTAGCGTAAAAAAATTTCTTATGCACTAATTTTTTAAATTAAAAAAAAATGTGTACTTATCGTATGTAGATTTTTAATAAATACAAAATACTGCCTTATATTTATAGATTGTAGTTAAAAATAAAATGGATTAAGGACTTGTTAGCATTTTGTTTTTTGTTAAGAACCAAACTAATTTAAATCTTTTAACACACATCCCTATACATTTATAGAGTACGCTTACCTACAGTTATATCCGTCCTTCTGGACCATGAAGCGGACTGTAACTGAAAGTACAAGTATAACAGTTGGTTAGTGTACATATTCATAAAAATTTTGAGTGTTTCATACGGTACTATTACAGATATCAAATTTATAGATTCTTGTTTAAAAATAAGGTAGTGGAGAGCTGACTCATAAAGCTTGTAGGGGACTAAGCCCCACTACTGTATATATACCTATGTATAAATTTGTTATTGTGCTTACAAACTACAACTTATATGTCACTGTTAGACTCATTTTACTTTATCGAGTAATAAATAAGTAGAGAGTGGAAGTAATTTTAAATTCATTGATAAGCGTAAACGATGTGTATATAGTTACTAAACTGTATAAGTAGTCACATTTTTTTGTTACATCATTAAAACTTGTACATTATTCAATAACCAGGTCTCATTATTCACCCATTCATACAAGTAAGACTAAACTGAACCAATGGACTCGGAAGTTATTTGCCTCTTGGCTTAGTTGAAATTACTTAGCTAAATTGATTAATGTGTTAGTGATTTTTAATTAACTGTGGTATCTCAAGTGCACAGAAGATATCATTTTACAAAATCTAGTCTTTAATTTTGAAGGCTTATCTGCGACAATTGGACTCCATGCAAATACGTAGCAAGGAGAAGTAAAAGATTTAGTAAACTATTGGACTGTAGTTAAACTTCTTGGTCTTACATAAAAAACGATAAAACTAAGAATTAAAGTAAAAAAATTAAATTGATTTATTACGAAGTTAATGAATAAAATATGTATCAACATATTAATAGTTGGAGTACTGCTAATAAAACTTAACTTTTACACATAAATGTCATAGCTTTGTGAGGCTGTGGTCCTAACAAAATTACTCAATATATAAAAAAATAAAAAACATATGACATTTAAACGTACGAATTGTATAAATCACAAAAAATATGAGCTTCTACTAGATCTATGTCACGGTATTGTAAGACTACAATTTTTTTTAGTTCATAAAAAAGTTAAACATTATACAACATATAACACATACCATGCGTATTTATGGATATTATAATTTGTGTCAGTTTTTTCTATAGATAAAAATTAGCAACAATAGATCCATTGGAAATATGCAATATAATGATTAAATAATTAACAAAATAATAAATATGAATAAAAATAAAATAATAAATAAAGATGTATCATATTAACGCTGGAAAAAAATTTAACACACCAGATAGAGTTTGATCTTGTATACGAAAATGTTAATGAGATGGAATAACTAAGTTTTTAAAAATTCAGACAGTAATGTAGACTAATCGAAGATATCCGTAGAAAACAATGTTATTTTTACAATAAACTTTTTTGAATGTAATTCCTTAAAAAAAAGAATTTGCATATTCTTAAGTCTTTAAAGAATATACATATATAGCCGTACTCAAATGTATATTTGGAAACAAAAGAAAAAACATCAGATCATGCATCGTTTGTTTAACATACAATTTAACGTCTTTCTTATTTAATTTTTGATGAATCTCGTTGAATCTGGACATAAATTTATTTTAAGAAGTGTTAAAAATCTTCTAATTTATCTTTTTCTTATAAAATAGCTATTTATTTAATAAATAATGTTATACAGTCAGAAAATTATATCAACCTCATGGATAAGGTAAGCAACTTTGATTTTCTACAGACTGCATTTAAATCAACTAAATATTCTTCTGCGGAATAATTTGCTTTTAAACATTTATTTTTCTAAGCAGATTTAAACTTACAAAAGATTGGAATACTGCCATAATGTTACAAAAAACCAATAATAATAATTTTATTGTTCTCACTAACAGGATTTTAATTAAATTCTTTAAATTTTCACGACACTCATTTGGAATTAAATATATAGCTGTTTAACTCTATTTGTATTATTTGTTCCAGATAAAAATCACACCAGCTTTTTATTGCGATCCAAAATGACACTAACCCTGAAAAAAAGCCATCAATCCGATGATATAAACCTAAGTACATCAGGTATTCAGATCTCTACTAAGAACTCTACAGCTACTCATCCAGGTCTATCAATGAAATGTTTTAACCCGAATAATAAAATGAAGAATTTTGTTAATATTGAACTACCCTTAGAAAAACAGAGGTACGTATATTTTTTATGTAATACATTTTTTGGTCTTTTTTCTAATAAGTCCCCTAATAATTTCTTAACGATTAATTGTTGTAAAAAAAATAATTTAAAAAAATTTCTTTGCCTTCGAAGATTGTTATTCTCTTGTATTATACATAAAACTAGTAATGTTGATTAAAATGAAATAAATATGTTTTTAAAACATATGTATTTGACTCAAAACCAGAAAACTCAAAAGGTGTAATTATTAATTTAATAAGGTTAGTGTATTTGCATTTGACCATTTTATTTCTACGAAGCTTTATCAAATATTAATTAAAAACAAAAAGTCGAAAGTCGTCGTTACATCACGTTGGCATGTCAGTACAAACCCCTGCTACTTAGATATAAATTTTCTTTGACGAACAAAGGTAAGACAGGTAAGAGACATTCCCCCACCATTGATAGCTTCTTCTTCTAACTTAACTAGTGCAGCGGAAGCTTTTTCACATTTTAGTCACGAGAGGAGATGAAATTTCCCTTTTCCTCAGGGAGAAAATTTTTTTATTCTATACAGTTATAGTTTTTTTTTCTTTTTAAATGTCCAGAACTCTTTTTTCATTTATTTTTGCGTGATATCTAAATAATAAAAATGCGGTGTGAGAAAAAAAGTTAAAACATCTATAAGTTTAGTTTAAAATTTAAAGCTTTAACAGTAAAGCTTACAGAAAATGACACAATGTTATACAAAAAATTGAAATGGTACAGCCTTGTGACACTATCAGAGTGATCTTGTTCTCGTTCTTCTTCAAACTCAATAGTTTTATCGTTATAACATGCAGTTATCTTCAGAGACATGTTGGAGCCTTCAATTTTGATGTCCTGAAAGTTGCTTTCGTTTGTGAAACAATGCTTCTCAAGGTCTGCAAATGTTACTTTGAATGTGCTCCTATCTAAAATTATTATAGAAATACCTTTGAAATAAATGCTTAACAGATAAACTACAGGTTACCTATCGTTGTCAAGCAGTTTTTCATATTTCAGGCTAACTACAGATTTTTGTCAATGATTTATTCAAGTCATAAAGATAGAAGAAAATCTGGGTGAGTAATCGTTGATGCTACCTTACGCTAAAGAGATTAAATACTACTAACTCCCTTACTCTTTATAATCGTAAATAGAGTGGTGGTAAGAGCTTGTAATAAGTTAAAACCAGTATTATTCTTCTACATACGGAAAGGTCAGAATTGATTTCCTCCTTATAAAAAATCGAAACCACCTTTTTTTTAAGACACATATCGTGATCGCTCTGTATCTTAAAGAAATATGGATATCGCTCTGCACCTGAAAAAAATTATTGGTAAGTATAAATAATATAATATTTATCATTTATCTTAACATGTTTGTTTATTTTGTAACGACATACCTAATTTATTACATTAGTAATAGTTGGTATGTGGACAAGTTCTTTTTTGTTTTTTAAGACTATTTAACAATTACTGATTTCTGACTTTCTTCTTATATCGACTTTTCTTTCTCTTTAAGATAGATATCACTTACTTTTTGGGTCCATAATCGACATCCCATATTGTTTCAAGAAAGGACCTAGAATTTTAAAAAAGAAGATTAATTCAAACTGGCAGAAGAAATCCAGAGATAAGGCTAATAACACAAACCCTCACACACACTCACTTACACACTTACGCGTGCGCGCGTGCGTTTACGTACAGAGAGAGAAAGAGAGAAAGTTAGAGTACTCTATTTAAATTCTAAACCTTATAAAATACTTTATATTGTAACACGTGTGATTTCGTTTTGTAATTCTTTGTCCGTGATAACGCTTTCTTCATAAGACACCACTGATAGTGTAGATGTACTTCTACTATTTTTGTAAGACAAAATAATTTATAGATGTTTCGTATCTAACATGATTTTTTTATCCATTCTTTATTTTTTAAGAGTCTTACATATTTTGAACTTACATCTTTTAACACCTTTTGTGGCACATTATCTCGTCTACATACAATAATCTAAAGAGAAAAATAAGTTAACTCATGGTCCTTGAGATATTAAAACACAATCGTCATGAGGGTTTAAAATTTTTCACAGAAATTCTAAGAGTGCTTACAAAGTAGACGAGAAAAGGAAGAAGAATTGAAATTGCTACACTGTTTAGTCAGATTGTAGAACATTACCAAAAATCTTCGTATATAATATTTTAAACTGAAATAGTAAGATAAATAAAAAGAAAAAAGATAAGTAAATATACTGATTTAACGAATTTCAATGAATACCCTTCCGGTAAGACCATTAATAAGAAATGTCTTACGTCGTATTGATATTTTTTTGTTCTTGTGATAGGATATAAAAATTAAAAGAATTGAACTTCATGCATGGGATTTCACCTAACGTAGAGTCATGCTGAGAGAAAAGGAAATAAGAAAAACATAAATCATAATTAAATTTTGTGACACAAAGTAGTATGAGATTAAGAGGAGATAAATAATAGCTGTTACTCATTGACAAAAGCCTTACAATTTCTTGTAAAATTAAAAAATTAAACTTACTTTATCATTCCCAATAAATCATTGCAGTACATATTATACTAACATTACTACTGTAACAGCAATAATAACCATTGCTCTGAAAAAATTTCTTGACACTTGCATTACATATCTCCTAAGTCTATTGAGTTAATTAATGCATGCACTGCAATTCGTGAGTAATCATCCAATATATAAGAGTAATATATAAAATTAGTAAGATCTTACTACACCAGCAACTACTAGGATTCATTAGTTTTGTACGTCATCAACGTTATGTAATGTGAAAAAAATACGTATTATACAATCATGCTGGTTTCTTCACGCAGTCAAAACGTTAACAGGTCATTCTTTTACAAACCAAACTGATTTTGCTAAAAATTAATCGTCACCTCTCTGATTCAGCTGACAGATTTTTTCAAGTTTCTATATTAAGAAATAAGAGAAACATGTCCGAGGAATTTTTTTTTATCGCCTATTTTCGATTTTATAAGGAATGACAAATTTCAGAATAGTGGTTGGAGACTCATTTTAAACAATGTATAGCTCCAAATCCTTAAGAGCGACAAGATTTTTACCAATGGCACTTTTGTAGGTGAAGAGTTGAACTTTAGGAAAAAAAATTAAAAAGAAAAATTATCAACAAATTGATATTGTTATTAACAATTTAATTGGTTTTATCGATTTTTAACAATTGCCCCCAAAATAAATCAAGTTTTTATTATTACCATCGTATTCTGC